TGCTCTGTACTGCTTTGCATTTCTTTGCACTGCGTTGCATTGCTTTGCACTGCTTTCCATGGCTTCGCTCTGCACCACATAGACTGCACCACATGGGTTCTCCTTTTTAAAAACAGAGTAGACTCTCCCCCCCCCCGGCGTTATCGCCCCCCTTCCGGATATGTAAATCCTATATGATTCTGACCACATGTCCATCCTACATATGAATTTACACTATCCCCGGGGGGCTGGGTTCCCCCCCCCTGAGGTTCCCTTGTAAAAACACTATGCGGTGACATTTGTTGTTCTAACATAGCACTTGTTCACGAATCCCTTGGAAAAAATGGGACGAAGTGCACACGCGCGCGTCGTCGCGCGCGCATGCCGAAATCCTTTTAAAACCTTCGGTGCCGGAAGGATTTCGCCAAAAACATACAAAAACAAAAGGTTTCGTAACATTGATGTGCTAAAAAAGCTTACGCGCGAGCTCTTGCGAAATCTTAAGATTATCCCAGTGCGACCCTACCTAGGAGTTGGAGCCCCTAGGAAAGCAGCATTAGTAGTAACAGTGAAGCTAAGCTAAAGCTAAGCTAAAGCTAAGCTAAAGCTAAAGCTAAGCTAAAGCTAAGCTAAAGCTAAGCTAAGGCTAAGCTAACACTAAGCTAAAGCTAAGCTAAAGCTAAGCTGAAGCTAAGCTAAAGCTAAGCTAAAGCTAAGCTAAAGCTAAGCTAAAGCTAAAGCTAAAGCTAAGCTAAAGCTAAGCTAAAGCTAAGCTAAGCTAAAGCTAAGCTGAAGCTAAGCGAAAGCTAAGCTAAAGCTAAGATAAGGCTAAGCTAAAGCTAAGCTAAAGCTAAGCTAAAGCTAAGCTGAAGCTAAGCTAAAGCTAAGCTAAAGCTAAGCTAAAGTTAAGCTAAAGCTAAGCTGAAGCTAAGCTAAAGCTAAGCTAAAGCTAAGCGAAAGCTAAGCTAACGCTAAGCTAACACTAAGCTAAAGCTAAGCTAACACTAAGCTGAAGCTAAGCTAAAGCTAAGCAAAAGCTAAGCTAAAGCTAAGCTACAGCTAAGCTAAAACTAAGCTAACACTAAGCTGAAGCTAAGCTAAAGCTAAGCTAAAGCTAAGCTAAAGCTAAGCTAAGGCTAAGCTAACACTAAGCTAAAAAGCTAAGCTAAAGCTAAGCTGAAGCTAAGCTAAAGCTAAGCTAACGCTAAGCTAAAGCTAAGCTAACACTAAACTCAAGCTAAGCTAAAGCTAAGCTAAACCTACGCTAACGCTAAGCTAACACTGAGAAGCTAAAGCTAAGCTAAAGCTAAAGCTAAAGCTAAAGCTAAAGCTAAAGCTAAGCTAAAGTTAAAGCTAAGGCTAAAGCTCCCAGGGGACTGGGGGAACCGCGGGGCGGGGACTGGGGGAACCGCCCGGGGCGGTTAGCACTGCCCGGCCCTTTAAGCAAAGAGAGTAGGAACCCTTCTGGGCAGAGCCTAGGTAGGGAAAAACCATTGGTTTTTTAATATTTTCACAACGTGCTACCAATCGGGCTTCGCGCGCGCGCATGTCGAAATCTGTCGAACGCCCTTGCGCGTGTGCCGTCGCGAGAATCCTCTGCAAACAATGGGACGAAGTGCAGACGCGCGCGTCGTCGCGCGCGTACGCCGAAATCCTTCAAAACCCATCGGTTTCGGAAGGATTTCAAGATCGCGCGTCCAAACAACTTACAAAAACACAAGGTTTCGCAACACGGATTTTAAACAAAAGCGTGCGCGCGCGCTCTTGCGGCGTCGTCGTTGTCGTCGTCGTCGCCGTCCTCCCTCCTCCTGCGTCGTCGTTGTCGTCGTCGCCTACGTCGTCCTGTGTCTTTCCTCGTGTTCGTCGTCGTCGTCCTCTTTGGCGTCGTGGTCGTTTCCGTCGTCGTTGTCGCCGTGGTCGTCCTTCCTCCTCCTCCCTCGTCGTCGTCGTCGTCCGTCGTCGGCGTCTCGTCGTCGTCCCTCCTATTTCGTCGCCGTCGTCGTCGTCGTCGTCGTCGTCGTCGTCGTCGTCGTCTTCCCTCCTCCCTCGTCGTGTCGTCGTCGTCGTCGTCGCCGTCCTTCCTCCTTCTTCGTCGTTCGCGTCATCGCCGTCCTCCCTCCTCCCTCGTCGTTGTCGTCGTTGTCGCCGTCGTCGTCCTCCCTCCTCCTCGTCGTCGTCGTCGGCGACGTCGTCGTCGTCGTCGTTGTCTTCGTCGTCGTCGTCGTCATCGTCGGCGTCGTCGTCGTCGTCATCGTCGTCGTCGTCGGCGTCGTCGTCGTCGGTGTCGTCGTCGTCGTCGTCGTCGTTGTCGTCGTCGAAGTCGTTGGAGACGTCGTCGGAGTCGTCGTAGTCGGTGTCGGCGGCGCCGTCGTCGTCGTTGTCGCTGTCGTCGTCGGCGTCGGTGTCGCGGCCAAGTGCCATGTGGTACCTACCGTCACGGTCTTGTCTCAAGAGGTCTTGCGACCAAGTTGCGGGTGGGAGGGTGGGATGTTTGCACGAGCGCTGGAGAGGACAGCTTCAAGACGGTCAAAGTGGATTGCACCACCTAGATTACACCACATAGATTGCACAACCTAGATTGCACCGCATACGCTGCAACAAACACACTGTTTAGGACTGTTTAGGGCCCACGCGGCTAACTCACATCTGGGTTCTTCTTAAGTGTGCCCTCTGCATTTTTTACAGCTTTTGATTCGGCGTGTTGGACATCATGTGTCTAGTGTTCTTAGGTCCCAACAAGAAAATGAAGAAACACAGACACGATACGCACAAACACGAGTCATGCGCTTGCGTTTTGAGCTCCGTGGTTTTGCGGTTTCTGAGTCGGACTGCGCTGTTTAACATTGCCGTCTACCACGTCCTCAGTTCTTTCTCCTACAGTGCTGGTTTTAATACGTGCTCCGCGTGCGGATCGTGTATGAAACATGTCGGGATTTAGTATTAAAAACAACGATGAGTTCATGCATCAATTTATCCATGAATTAATCATGTATTCAAAAAAGCCAAATTTTTAAAGTTCCTATGTATTAAACGCTGGCCTGTAGCGTCCAGTCCTCCCAGTATGTTTCTTTCATTAGCCTTGCTGTGATCTAGTCGTCCCTGCTGGCTGTGTCGCGGGGCCTCTGGGCCCGTGCCGCGCCGGTATAAGACCGGTGCTCGGGCGCCTGTTGGGCGTCTGCGCGCGAAGCTTGAGGAACGGGAGGAGCGGGAGTCAAGCAGTGGCGAAGCGTCCCGGCTCGCCTATAGCCCCACCAAACAATGTTCTAAGAACCTTTTGGGGTTCACACGAAATGTTCTTCGAAGATTTCTGGCTGGGACTGTCTTGTTTTAACACATCGGATGTATGTTCTAAGAACATTGTTCTTGTTCTTAGAACATTGACTATAGGAATGCCGGGACGGTCGGTCCCTGCTCAAGGGAGAGTGGGAGCGAAGACGGCAGTGAAAGCAAGGAGCAGCCTTCGACAAGAAACCAAAACAAGGCTTAAGCAAATGAGATGTGACAGCGACCGGCCTGAAGACGTTCACCATGACATTTAAAAGAAACACACGCTCAAACAGAGTAGCGTACGATTGTCAGCGTTTTTAGCTCGTCGAGAGCCCAAAGTGTCAACGGTAAACAAAACAGTTATCCAAACATACAGATCACAGATGTGTAAATCTGCATCTTTATGCATGTATGGGGGGGGCCCACGGCGAGTCACCGCCGCCACCGCCGCCTCCTGCCTTCTGGGATCGCTTGTGTCTTGGAATGTCGAGCGAACGTGCGGCGCCGCCAGTGAACTGGCCGTGGAGGAGTCCGTGGGGGTAGCGCACGAGAGGGAGCTGCCGGGGCCGTCTTGCGGCAGCTGTTGGGGGTCAGGTTCTTGCCTTTGGAGCTTTCTTGGAGGCCTCCCAGGGCACGCTTGGGCCATCTTGGGGCTCTCGTGGGCCGTTTCGAGTCGCTCGTGCGAGGCCTGGCGCCTGCACAGGCCGTCTCGTGGGCCTCTCTAGTCCACTGTGGGCTTGTCTTGGGGCGCTCGAGGGCAGTCTCAGGGCCCGCCTGCGGCCTTCTTGGGGCCCGCTTGGGGCCTTCTCGGGGCCCGATTGGGAGTCCTTTGGGCAGCCTTGGGACCATCTTGGGGACCTTTTTGGCCGTCCTGTGTTATTGGAAGCTTCAAGAAGATCGGCCGCGACAATCTCTGGAATATGCCAGGAACTCAGTGCTTGTTGTTTGTTGGGCCAGACGCATCTTGGGCCGCCCCCCCCACGGCTTCTAAGACTACCCAGGATGCCCCCAAGAGGCCCCCAGCACGGGTCTTGAGACAATATCAAGCCATGTTGGAAATGTGGATTCCAGACTGCGCTCCCGAAGCCCCTGGAACACACATGCGTGCAAATGCCCGCAGCGCCCAGTCGCGCCCGGGACCAGGAGGACGTGGATTTGGGCCTCCCTTTCTACACGAGGGGACCCGAGAGCACTTTACCCAGTGCTTCGCGAAACCGTGACAGCTCGCGTGTGTATGCTTCAAACGTGTGTGCATTTTTCAGGAGGGAAAGAAACACACAGACACAATTCATCGGCGATTCCCCAGAAACATATGGGAAAATATGGGAAATGGGGGGAGACAGAAACCCAGAACATGTGGGAAAATATGGGGTATCTGTTTATTTGTGTGTATTTATGTGTGTGTGTCCTTGGGCCCCTTCAATATGGATTTGCACATGCACACACCCTCGTCAATACTTCGTCGCATTCCCTCATTCCCCCCTACTTCTTTGTCCTCGCCTCCGCTGTCAGCGTCGTCCTCCTACTCCTTCGCTGGCGTCCTCCTGCTCTTCCTCCCACCCTATTTCTGTCCCCATTCTCCTTCTCTATTTCCATGTCTATGTCCCTCTCTCTTTCTCCTCCTCTGTCTCCTCATCCTCCTCCTGCTCTTCCTCCTCTTTCCCTCACACTTGCTGTCCGTCTCTCTCTCTCTCTCTCTTCCTCCCCCCCTTCTCCCCCTCCCTCCAACCATCCATTTCCTCCTGCCACTCCAGGCCGAGTTTATGGCGCTCCGGGAGCACCGCAAGGAGCGCGGGCCTGAAGGGAAGCTCCCAGGGGGCCGGGCGAGCCGACCGCGTCGTTTGGCGCTCCGACTACTCTCCAGACGGAGGAGGGATGCGGAGGGGCGGGAGGTAAGCAGGAGAAGGGAGGGGGGGAGGCTGGCGAGGACGGAGGAGGAGGACGGCGACGAGGAGGCAGACGGGGAGGAGGTGGATAGGGACGAGCAGCGCGAGAGCGTGGACGAGGACGAGGGAGCGGAGGTGGGCGACCAGTGGGAAGGGGGCGGCGGAGCACGAGGCCGAGGCGGAGGAGCGGGGAGGGAGGGGGGAGCGAGAGAGCGCAGGGACGACGGGGCGAAGGGGGCGAGTGAGGGGCGCGGGGGGGGAGCGGAGGAGCAGCGGCAGCGAGGAGGCGCAGACGAACGAGGGGGGCGTCGCCCCGGGGAACGGGGTCCGCCGTGCGCACGTTGGCGCCCCGGCCCGCGCCCCCCGGGCGCCGCAGCGCGAGCGGGGGCGAGGACACGGACGAGGAGCGCCCTCGGCTCCGGCCAGGGCTCGAGCTGAACGGTGCTTGGGCGATCTCGTGGACCACCGTCGCTTCGATTTCGGGCCCCTTGCAGCACAGCCTAAGAGGGGCTCGGGATGAAGACCCGGTCGTCTGGACGAGGTCGAGGAGGAGGAGGAAGAGGAGGAAGAGGAGGAGGAGGACCAAGAGGACGAGGAAGAGGAGGAGGACGAGGAGGACGAGGAGGAGGAGGAGGAGGAGGAGGAGGAGGAGGAGGAGCTGGAGCTCGTCGGGACGAGGTCGAGATCCTGAGGGGCCCGTGGCGCGAAGACCTGTTTCGTCGGAGGGGCCATGGGGAAGGGGCACGAGGACACGGATTAGGAGGAGGTTGAGGTGGAGTAGCTGTAGTTGGAGGAGGAGGGGAAGGAGGAGGAGGGGGAGGAGGAGCTGGAGGAGGAGCGTGAGGAGAAAGCGCAGGAGGACCGGGAGGAGGACGAGGAGTAGAAGTTGAGGCCCAAACCGCCCCATATACCATATGGCCTACCTCCGAGTTTATGCGGAGCCCAGGGGGGGAGGTGCACATGTGGGGTGTGCAGAGCCAAGTGTCATCACATTGATATTGTTGTATGTCGGTCTCTGTACATAGGCATGAATCTACGAGCATGTGTGTACACCACCAGGGGGGTGGGGGGGACGGGCACTGCGCGACGAGCAGGCCGAGTAAATGTCTGTCCAACTACAAAACAAGGGAGGAGGAGGAGGCGGAGGAGGAGGAGGAGGAGGGGGAGGCGGAGGAGGGGGAGGCGGCGGACGAGGAGGAAGAGGAGGAGCATGATGAGGAGGAGGCGGAGGCGGAGGATGGGGAGGAGGAAGAGGAAGAGGGGAGGAGGAAGAATAAAAGGGTGATGATGATGGTGGTGATGATGATAATGATGGTGATGGTGATGATAATGATGATGCTGCTGATGCTGATGATGATGGCGGTGGTGGTTGTGATGATGATTGCGATGATGATGATGATGATGGTGGTGATGATGATGATGATGCTGGTGATGATGCTGATGCTGATGCTGATGCTGATGCTGATGCTGATGCTGATGCTGCTGCTGATGCTGCTGCTGATGAAAATGATGGCGATGATGCTGATGAGGATGATGATGCTGATGATGATGGTGTTGCTAATGATGGTGATGGTGCTGATGCTGATGCTTATGCTGCTGATGATGATGACGATGATTATGATGAGGATGATGATGCTGATGATGTTGCTGCTGCTGCTGGTGATGATGATGATGATGATGATGATGATGATGATGATGATGATGATGATGATGATGATGATGATGATGATGATGATGCTGATGATGATGATGATGATGATGATGATGATGATGATGCTGGTGATGATGGTGGTGATGGTGGTGATGGTGGTGGTGATGATGATTATGTTGAGGAGGAGGAGGAGAAAGAGGAGGAGGAGGAGGAGGAGGAGGAGGAGGAGGAGGAGGATGGGGAGGAGAAGGGGGACGAAGAGGGTTTGGCAGAGCAGGGTGAGGAGGAGGACTTGGAGGAGAGGGAGGATCCTGCCGTCCCTGCAGAGACGGAAGAGGATTGGGAGGAGCAGGGCGAGGGGTCAGAGGGTGGGGGAGGAGGAGGAGTAGCAACCATGCATTATGCGGGGTAGGAGGGTGTGGGGGCGTGCCACCTGCTAAGCGAGGACATAGGCGCCACCATCGACGAGGTGGTCACGTGGCTCAGCAAGATGCCCAGGGTGGCTGCTGCCGCTTCATCTGCTGATACTCTTCCACAACCTCCCTGTCCTTCTCGTCGCCCCCTTCCCCATCATCCGCCGTCATAATCCTTCTCACCCTCCTCCTTCTCTTCCTCGGCCGCCTCCTCCTCCTCCTCCTCCTCCTCCTCCTCCTCAGTTGCCTCCTCGTCCTTCTGCTCCTTATCCCCTGTCCTCCTCCGCCTCCCCATCCTTCTCCTGCAGACCCTCCTCAGGCTTTCTCCGCCCCCACCTCCTCCTTGCATTTCTCCACCTCATTCTCCTCCTCCTTGCCGCCGATCCCGCCAACCCCTCTCTGCGCCTCGTGGGCGAAACACGTATCCGTATCCGCGGCCTCGCGGGCCCGGGCCCCTGGGCCGCGCTTTGTCGCGGATGCCGGGCGCTTTGTCGCGGATGCCCCGCGCGGGACGCATCCGTGCGACCGCGCCTCTGCGGGATCGCGCGTCGGAAGCCGGACCGCGAGGGCGCGGATGCGGATCTGCTCGCCGCTCGTGGGCACTCCCGTGCCTCTCCAGGGGAAAAGCCCTCCTCTTCTTCGGACCCGCATCCTCCACCACCTCCTCCTCCTCCTCCTCCTCCTCCTCCTCCTCCTCCTAGGCCTTCTCCTCCTTCTCTTCCTCCTTTTTCTCCTCCTTTTCTTTTGTTTTCTCCTCCTCCCCCTCCTCCTCCTCCTCCTCCTCCTCCTCCTCTTTTCCCTCCACCTCCATCCTCCTCGCTCTCCGGCTTCTCCTCTTCGTCCGCCTCTTCGTCCTGGCGGCGCGCGCTCCGCGCGCCAGGGAAGGGGCTCCCGCGCCGATCCGGGAAGTCCGCGCGGATCTCCGCGTTTGTATGTTTGTGCCACGGCTCGTTTTCCCATCCTGGGCCGCCCCGCCCTCCGCTGGCCTGCGAGAGCGCCGGCCCCGAGAGCGCGGGCCGCGCCCGCCCGGGCGCGGCGGCCCGAAGGGGCCCGCCGGCAGCGGCCCCAGACCTCCGGCGAGCTGCCCGGGCCCTGCAGCGAGCCATGAGCAGGGCAGGGCGGGAGGGTCTTCATCCTCCTCCCCAGACCCCCTCGAGTTATGAAAAAATCACGACGGGAGGTTTTTTCATTATTTTTGGCCTTTGGGGGCCCTTACCGGCCCTCGGGACCGTCGAAAAACGACTCAGGACGAAAAACCGGTCCCAGGGAATGGGTCGAGACCTCTGGTGGTCGACGTCATGAAAAAATCATGACGTCGGGGGTCTGGGTCTGGGGGGCAAACAAACCTACCTCGCTTTGACCACCCTCGCTTCCAAGAGATACCGAACGATGCCAAACTGCGGCCTGTACTGGTCAGGCCGCTTGACGAGGAGGCGCGTGGTATGACTTGGTTTTGCCTGGAAGCGAAAGCGGGGGAGGTAATTCACGCTCCGAGTCCTCGGCCTCCCGGGACCCCCTCTGGCGGGCCTCGGGGCCCGTCGAGCACCGGAGGGAGAGCCGTTCCCGGGGAAGGGGTCGGGTCGAGACCTCATGGGGGTCGGCGCCATGAGAGCGTCAGTCATGGCGTCGGGGGCCTGGGCCGCCCGCCTGGCGTGTACGGAGCCCCCCCCTCCCCCGCGGCCGTCCCGGCGCTGTGGCGGAGGGGGGGGGGGGGTCGGGCGGGCAGGCTGGGCGAGGCCATGCTGCGCTTATGTCGGGCCTGTCCCCCTACAGGGGGATTTTCGACTGAAAAATTAAAAATACCGCAGAAATGCTCCAAAAAGATCAAAAAAAATGTGAGAAAAATAGTCCCCCGACTATTTTGGGACTATTTTTTAAATTATCTTGGGGGTATTTTTCATTTTTCGTCGACAATCCCCCTGTAGGGGGACAGGCCCGACTTAATGCCGCGCCTCTCGGAACAGGGGCGCTGCCGGTTCCATGCGGGCGTCTTCCCCCGACCTGGGCCTAAGAGGCCCATAGCCCCAGAATGAAGTCGGGCACGTCCCTCTACAGGAGACGAGATGGTCCAAGACCAGTCAGGGGGCGATCTTCTGCTACTGATTGGCCATTGTTGGATCTGTGTTGGCTATTATTTTCATTCTTGTCCTCCGAAATCTGCCTGGAGGGGGACGTGCCCGACCTATCCCAGAACCATCGAAGCTGGATCCAGGGCGAGGAGGTATACCGGAACGGTGTACCCCCAGTCGTGCGCTCCAATCGGGAGTCGCA